CCCTAAACCCTAAACTAAGTCAGCGCTTCAGTTCAAAATCCGCGAGAATTCCTAGTAGGCAGGGTCGGTTGCACTGGAGTAAAGGTCAATTGGTGTCGGATCAGGGTCTTGTTCGACACTAAGGCACTAAGTTGGGCGGTATACATGGTGAATTTGCTTGGCGTCGAATGCGGGTCGGATTCGACACTAACTCGTTGATGGGGCATCAGTATTCGGGACACGCACTAGTGTCGAATACGGGTCGGATTCGACACTAACTCTTTGGTGAGCCCTTCGGCTCTGCAAGTATGTCTGGGAATCGATGTGGAGCAAACACTTGGTGTCGATAATGGGTTGCCTTCAAACTCTTCAAACTTTTCATTGTTGCTTACTGGCCATTGTTTTTGCTTTTTTGGGTCGGCTGGATCCAAGCTGTATAGGGTTGAACTGTCGTGTGAAGGGGGCGATTGTGTGTCAGCTGCCGCTCATCACTGCCCGACCCAAGGTCCAGCTTCTGGGCGTGATCGCCTTTGAACGCACTGAGCAAAGGATTCTTGGCAGGGTTTCTGAATGACCATGCCCGCTGGAGAAAACTGGAAGTCAGTATTACTGTACTTTGATGTACTTTGTATAGACTCCTGCAGGTCCGGATACGGCAGCTCACTCAGTTCATTTCTTCCTTGCTCCATTTTGGCGTAATCATTGGTGTTTCATGCTCCTTCCAGCAGACAGTCCTTGGTAGTTTCTTGTAACTTGTAGCCCTTTCTCCTAGTCCAATGTCGAAGGTGGATGCCGTGCCTCTGTCAGCAGACTTCGTGCTTCAATGTGTGAAAAACGATACAGGTGGGTGGCAGTTCCGCCAATTTAAGCCTGAGCGTCCTTGGGTTGCTGCGACTTTGCCTCTCGCACGCCTTCCAGATGCAATCTGTTTGTGCTACAACCGTTTGATGCGCGCGAGCCTCCCAGAGATTGGTGACGTCGTCCTGATGTTGGGTGATGTGCCCGGGGGAAAAGTCCTTCCACGCATTCACGCGCTCCTCGGAATGTAATAGCAGCAGCGTATTGGATAGAACTTTAGCGCGTCAAGACTCTTGTACCTTTTGAGTGATTAGCTCTCCAACTTTTCTTTTTTTCGGTTCAGGGTGCTGCTCCGGGACTACTACTGGTCCATGCCTGGAGTTCTGTCCACTGTGGAGGACAAAGACTGTCTGCCAAACTTTAATGATGGTGCGAAGGTGTATGGAGACAACTACAACCTTGAAGCTAACATCATAGCCTTTGTCACTGATCCTGGCATCACCTTGAGAGATGAACCAGTGTATGAGTTCAAAGATTTTGATTTGCCCCTTGTCGCGTTGCGGTCTGACTTTCAGCCAACGACTTTTCTGAGCCTTCGTTTAAAGACGCCTGCTTAGCTTCTGATTTTAGCCAAGGCCTGATGGGCCACGTCGCGCTTTGGTGATGCGAGTCAGCGAAGAGAAGTTTGTTGTCCTGGCGAAGTTGGTTGTCCCTGGAGTTGTTGACAGGACCGGAGACTAGAGGTTTTTGCGACAGACCGACGCGCAGAGCGGCGTTGGTCAAGATTACTTAGCGCGTGTTAGGTGCGCCGACCAACCAATAGGATGGCGCCGCGCAACAGACATCAAAGTGGTTAAAAGGGTCTATATCCGGGCGGCAGGTTTTTGCAAAGCATTTACCGTGTGAGTTGGCGCAGTGCAGCTGACGTCCGTGCCATGTTTCGCGCGCTCCTGGAGCGAGACTTTGTTACCGTATCATAGGTTTGCTGCAGTCTTTTGGAAATTCTTGAATTCAGCTGTTTCTTCTATGTTCTAAGTCTATTTTCTTTGTTTGAGGCGCCCTGAGGCTCACGACGCATAAATTGCCCAACTAGTCAAGTTGTTTGATGGCTTTCGCTGGAGAATTGACCGGTGACTGATGCTTGATGCTGCGTCCATGTTTGCAGTCAGTGTTTTTTGAATTTGTCAACATCGAGTTCGTGCGATGTCGTGTCGAACTGGTCCTGGTGCTTGACTTGATGTATATCATCATAGGTAACGTGAGTAACTCTTGAACTTTGTCCCGGCGAGTGAAGGTTTTTTTGTTCGAGCTTCCTGAAGTGAAAGCTGTATGCCGCCGTCGAAGCGTAAGTCTGGTGGCGGGGGAAGTGATGGTGGAGGGAAGTCGAGCAAGGCTCACAAACAGGTTCAGAAAGATGTCGCATCATCTACTAGTCCCGTGATCGAGCAGCTCACTGCATGGTTACTTGGTGACAACGAGGGGTCGATGTTCGGAAAGTCCAGCGATGTCATGATTTGATGGAACCGGATGACCAACAGGTTTGGAACTGTTGCCGAAGCTGGTGGGGTGCACCAGTTCTTGGAGAGCGAGTTGAACACGCAGGCAAGGAATTGATTCCAAGGTGAAATCGAGTGCGGTAGATTATTATCTAGACTGGGTGTTTGGAACTAAACAGACATTCATTTTGCACTTTTCGCAGGAAAAGCGCATGGAGTTTGCTGGTTGGATCGACGAGAGCTTCCCACCAGATCCCAAGTGGTTTGGTGGCAACATAGCGTCGCGTTGTCGTGTCATGGAGCCTTTCTCCAATGAGGTCTGACTACGCCACGGAGATTGTGCCAGGGCCTTGCCAGATTAGGCCTTGGCAGTTGGGATACCGATCCGATTTTGGTTTCAGTGGCTTCTGTGAACCTGATGAGAGCGAGTTGTTACTGCAACTCATTGTCAGTGAAGGGTCGGGGTCTCAACGCCTGCCGTCGCAAGTCAATTGAGCCTACATTATTTTGTGCGCTTTGCAAGGTTTTAAATGGCACGTTGCAAGCCGCCACTGACTTGCAAGGTTTCGGACCAATGCTGAGTTGCTCCCTGGGGTGGAGCGGGTAGCGATCATGCAACCAGATCGGTCGATGTTGGAGTCCGAGTACAAGCCATGTCCTCCTTTAAACCTCCGAGGCAGCGGTAACGATATCTGATATCCTCTTTCTGCTGGGTTGTTGGCAGTTGGCAGTTGTGACCTGTTTGTGTTTCACTCCTGTGGCATTTCATTTTCGACAGGCGATCTGCTGGTGCCTTTCAGTGTGGCGTATACGAAAGGATGGCGACGCGCCACCACATTGCTGTGCATCCTTGCTGGCGTCCGCAAGTTGCAGTTGGACTTGCAAGAGCTGCCGCGTGTCTTCAAGGACTCAGCTTCAAGAGCGCGTTTCCCAAACCCTTAGCCTTACTGTTGCTATTACTGTAACAATTCTGAGATTATGTTGCACCAAGCCTTCATTTGGACGTTAAAATCAGACATCAAACCCCCATGCATGGACGCTTGTTATCCACGCAACAGGCCTCCATCCGGACAATATATTGCGTTGTTGGGAAGTATGGCACTGTCGCAGAGGCAGTCATGGCCAATAGAGGGATCACAATGGCGGCGTCAGCCACCCGGCGTGCTCCGAACGCCTTCAATTTGATCCGCCAAGTGGAGGTGCTTCAACGAGCTGGTCATGGATCGGTGACGCAGCAATTTAAGGAAGCCATTTGTAACTTTCAATCAACTTCTTTTATTTTCTGTTGGGCTCTGATCTCTCTCTCCCCTGAGCGGCCTCTCGCCGCGCCCGCCAACTCGTGTCCTCCTTTTGTTCCCGAAACTTGTTGGGGGCCTATCGGCCTATTTTAGGCGCACCATGGTCACCATGATGGCGCGCCGCAAATTAGATCCCTCCAAGAGAAGTCAAGAGACCACTTAGGGCCAACTGCACTACAGTTTGCCCTATTTTATTGTTGTGGTCCCTTGACTTCTCTTGTTAACCAACTAACTCGAAATTGCAGTTTCCTGCTTCCCCGATCACGTGAGCTCATTTATTAAAGACAAGGGGTATATGTCATGAAATATTGAATCCGAGGATGATATCAAAATTGAATCGCAGTGTCCGAGGATGATATCAAATTGTAAACGCTGCATCGCTGATTGTACTTTCATGACCGCGCGAAAACACAACCGGAATTAGAACAACGTGGACAGACAGCTGGGCAAGGCCTGGACCTTGCAAGACGGAGAAGGAAGGCCCATGGCGTGGTCTATGTAGATCCCTTCGCCCCAAGCAGGAATAAACGCACATTATGACATGCCATATAGTAGGTAAATGAACTGTTATCTCAATAGTATTTGTATTTCGCAAACACTAGCACCAATGGGGAATTCAGGGCCTGGGGCGAAATGAAATTTCCACAAAGTTTGTTTGAAGGCTGTTTGCCCCAGAGTTACGTTGAAGATCCACGCAGGACTGGGAGAATGTTAGCGCTGTCTCACGCGCTTTCAACATCGGACGATCCGAAGCTGCAGCGGCGTCGAACTTGCAGTCCAGGGTCGATCCGAGTGTGACTACGAGCCTGAAGGCTGCCGTGGCAATGCGCGGCCTGCGGAGTTTCATAACTCATGACTTGATCGCGAAGGGCACCTTCAATGACGGGTTCACGAGCGGGCAAGGGGCAACTGAGCCCTGGACCCAAGAGCTCACAAATGGCCTTGACCACCGGCTGGCCGCCCGGCGTTCGAAGTGCTTCTTTGATGTCTCCGTAGTTTGCTGACCTTGTTTGATGTTTTGAGGCTTGTCGGGCGCATGCGTGCTTGCGAGTGTCAGGTGGAACTCTTTGTGCGCCGCATTTGCGCAGACTGGGATCGCACTCCAAAGAACATGCAGAAGGCCTTGGGATACAAGGAGGCTCTCACGGTCCACATTGCTTGTGGCATGTACCAGCACTACTTGGAATGCCTTCGGAAGAGATGCCCGGCCACGGAGTATCCAGCCATCGCTAGCAAGCTTGAGACGATGTTCATGAGTGGCCTCATGGACCCCGATCTGGTGAGCAGCGCGGAGAACAATGTTCCGCCAGGAGATGTTTGCAGTGTTTCTCAGTTCAGGAGCGGGCTCGCGCGTTCGAACAATTTGCTTGTCACTGTGTTCAAAAGATTTTGATTTTGGTTGTGTTTGAAAGGTGTTTTTCGTTTCTTTGGTTCTTGCAACCCAGGATCCACATCAACATGTTCGAGGCTCGGATGGCTTCGGAGGCAGAGGAACGCGGCAGGGAGGCGGCAGCCAAGGTTGATGCCGCGACTTTTGAGCAAATTGACGCGCAGTTGACGGCAGATCTGGAACTTTTGAGAGCGAAAATGCCGAAGCCTGTGTCGCAAGCGGTTGCCACGGCCCAAGACATGAAGTATTGCAAAGACCGGCAGAGGACCTGTGTGCAACAAACACCTAGAACCTAGTATACGTTGGATTTCATTCTGGTTGCGCAGTCCTTGCGAGGCGTAGGTGATTGTGCCAATTACTAATTCCCTTCTTCAGGACCGGAGAGCAATGGGTGAAAGGTTGGATGGAGGAGAACTGTAACATTGCCTTCATTGACGACAAGGGACCTGTTGCTTTGAGCGACTTCACCAAGTTCATCTCGAACCGACGGTGTGATGGACAGATGTACCCCAACTATTCAGTTAATTTGAAAGGTTGTAAAATACAACGGTAATAATATTAACGACATATGCTCCAAAGAAGTTTCAAACCCTCAGGTATCAGAGAAAGTTTGTTAAATAAGCAAATCTTCCAAACACGTTTGAGTGCTCAGGTATGTCATTTGCGTCATCGACGCTACGCTGTGGTCTGGCGACACGATCCCGGAAGCCTTGAACAAACTGGGGACACTTGTGTCAATGAGCTCTTGCCACCTTGGAGTGGTCCAGCTACCAGTCTTGCATGCTTCAACGTCTTTGGGAGCCACTCTCAAGCACACCCGGCGCATTCAAGACATTCTGTTGCAAGCAGATTTGGATTTTTCCACGAGTTTGACGATGACCTACACCAGAGACAACGCTTTGAGATCGAACTCAGACAAACGGCCCGTGACACAGAGCTGTGCGTTGGTGACAGGTGGGAAGGCATCCACCAGCAAGTGGGCTGAGTCAGAGTGTTTCCAAGGGATCTTTGGACCGCTGCCTCTCATTCCAGTCAGCGAGATGCAGGGCTACGACCCGGACAACAAGCCTGCTCCAGCGCAACGTGTATCTCAGAAACTTGCTTTCCTGTTTTGATTTTTGATGCATTTTTTTTGCCCTGGTCTGTACGTCAGCTGTGATGTTTGCTTTGCGCTTGCGAAGCTGTAGCTTGACTTAGGAAGGGCATCCCGTGCCACCGACAGATGATTGCATCATTTCTGACCGGGATGAATTTCCAGGAGAATGATGAGGTTGTATGGCTTGACCTCGTGCCCAACCAGCGACATGTTTGCCTCGAGATTAATTTTTCTGTATATCTTTTTACGGCCACAATTTCATTCGTTTCCGTGAGGTTTATGTCGGGCCGCGCTAGGTATGCCGAGTATGGAAGAGCTTGCGTCCGACGCCTTCTGGAAGGAGAGACGAGGCCCAAGTTGAGCTACTACGGCATGTTCCGGAAAGACCAAAAACAGGTCGTTGCCAACATCGAGGGTGAGATTTTTGAGCACTGGGACGGGCTCCCAACAAGCCCGCCCAAAACCCGCCCGCGCGATCCTGCCCCGCACTTGACTGCCATTGCTGGACTCTCGCTCATGAGTTTGGACAGTGTTGGGCAGCCTGGTTGGCCAGACCACGTTCTGAACAAGTTCAAGGCTGACAGCGAGCACCGGCGCAAGCTTGAAAAGATGAAGGCCGACTTCTTGCAGGAGTTCAAGGTTCCCGCCCAGGCCAAGGCCAGCGTTTCTCGGGGCCCTGTCAGGGTGACGGGTGCGCCGGACTTCACAGTGGATTCTGCAGAGCCTTTGGATGTGAACCGCGTTGTGGATCTCGAAAAGGTCGCCCCGCCGGATTCTGAGAAGAGGCGGGAATTAAGGGCTGGTTTTGGGCAGTGTCATGCTCCCAGTTGGCTTGGTGCTGGATGTGAGTTCGATGTTGGCGACCCCAATTATGAATTTGGTTGGTTCCGGTTTTTTTCATTGCTGGGCTTTGTTGTTACACACCTTTTGAACCCCCTAAAAACACCAGCAAAAATATTGAATTTCAATTGTGAACAACAAAAATAACCCGGACTGTCATGTATTAAGTGGCCTTCCTTCGGGCTTTGAACGTATTCCACAATCTTTCTCACCACCATTTGATTTGTTAGACCTAAAGCCCCTTGCCCTATCCAGGTTGGCGACCATCACGGGACGCAGTGGCAAGGCGTCCATCGTGGTGGATACTGAGATGAACATTTTCATTGGGAATGAGGTCAGCGATTCGTTGGAGTTGTGTGGGGCAGAACTGTTTGGGTTCAATACTGGCAATTTTGAGGTGAAGTTGGTCGACTCCGACAAGAGGCATACCTCAGGAATAGCGTGGAGATTTGTCAGCGACCTGGAGTTGGTGGCAGAGAACAAGGTTTTGATGCCCATCTGCAGCTACCTGCACAGGTTGGCGAGCTCCAAGGGTCTAGCTGATGTGACGATCCCTGAGCATGTGATCACGCCGAAGATGCACGCGGCAGTCTCTTGATTTTCAAGCCAATACCGTTTTTTGCTAAGTATGAGGCAATAAACTGTTGGCCCAAACAAGATATGAATTTAATCTGATGTGAGGATGGGACATCGGAAGCGGTGCCGGTGGCTTTTCGGTTCAACATTGAGGCATCTCGCTCCAGGAGCACCAATGTCTTTCGACCTAATGTGCTGCAAGGAGAGCCGAAGGCGGCCAGTCTTGGAGCCCTATGGCTCGGCAAGTTCGAGAAGCTTCCATCATCCAAGCTGGTGAGCATCGTTTGGGAGGCTCTTGCGCATCTCAATCATTCCAATCTGTTGATTCTGATGTTGGTCGCGTTCCAATCTGTCGATCGGTTTTTTGTTCGTGGGTGTTTGTACTGTTCCAACTCGTGGATTTTTTGAACTGATGTGTTGACGCATTCCTAATATGGGTTGTGGAGTATCTGAGTTACTGGCTGCCCGTAGGTGGACCTGCAGGGCACCTCAATGATTCCGGTCAAGCCGAAGCTGTATTTGACCTGCGCAATGGTGCTTGCTCGCGACGAGTGGGTCAAGCTGTCGTGAAGTTTTGATTCCTTGCGGGTTGGGGGCGCGTTGGAATTGGTCTTGTATCGAACTTTTCAAAGTTAAACTCACTGAATACTTTAAGTTAGTAGCTTTTGGCAGTATGGCATCTGGCTGACGCAGCCCTAGTTCCCAACCGCTGGACTGACTGTTCACTACTCTTACTGACTGTGGGGTGTTTGTTTGTTTTGTTGCTGTTGATGGCAAAAAGAATTAACTTCCAAGAGTGCCTGGCAGCCCACAGTCAAGCGAGCCGTGAGTTTTTTGACGGTAGATCTGACAGCTGGCAGTTCCAGAGACATCCCGAACCTGGAAAATCTTTGAGACAAACTCTGTTTTTTTCGGGGTGAATGCGCCAGCTTCCTGCTGATTGCTTGATCCGGATTATGATCTACGCGTGACCACTGCTCAGGGAGCAACTAGCACCTTTATTTGTCGTCCTTCCCTACTTGTCATTCCCTTCTTGTTGCGGCAGCCCATGGCAGTGTTTGCTTCAGTGAATGAGTTGTCTTCGTCAGATGATGGCGGAGCGCCTGCCCCAAAAGCAAAGGGCAAACCAAAGGCTACGCCCAAGCCGAAGGGCAAAGGCGGCGCCAAGGCTAAGACCAAGAGCAAGGCAGAGCCAGCGCCCAAAGTCGAGGGTGGAGCTTCGCAAGAAGAAGTTGCGGCGCCCGCGCCAAGCTCTGGTACCCCCAAAACTCCGACTCCTAAGAAGACTCCTGACAAGGCAAAAAAATGTTCAGGCTGGGCGCTGCTCGTGAGATTGCAATGGGTTTTCTTTGGCGCTAGCCGCTAGGCCATGAAGCGCCCAGCTGCTGCCGCCGCCGCTGATACTGTTGCGAAACGCCCTGCTTTGAAAGACGCAGGCTCTTTGACTTCTGCGCAACGTGGCTCATAATTTAGCCGCTTGCTTCTGTGAGGTGAATCTGAGATCAATGTGAGCGCGCCATACTATGACAACAGGAGTGGCAAGTGGGGATTGCGAGTGAATGGCTCACAGGCCATCCTGGCAACCTGTCTGAACTTCAAGCTGACAACTACATGTCTGATATGTGCGTGCTCAGCTTTTTTCGAGGTTGGGGGGACAAGCTTGCCAAAGGACAAGACGAAAGAGATCGTCGTGAGCCCCTTAGATTTTCATTTCTTAGCTGATTGATTCTGACTGAGCCACTGTGGTCACGGTCTCGCCAGGTCATTTGCAGAGAGCATTTGCTCAAGGGCGAATCCATTGACCAAGTTAAGCAGATGAAGGCCGCCGGTTGGCTTCTATTCATGCCAACTGCCTTCTAATCACCAAAAGAAATTGATTTGAACTTGATTGGAGGATTCTTTGGTGGCTGCGCTTCAGGGTGAAGACCTCGATGCCAAGCCGGAGGACGTTGAAGCTCCGGAGCCGAGCGCGGCTGAAAAGGGTGAAGACCCTAGTTCTCGTGAAGGCCATTGGCGCTGCGTCCTTTATCGTAAGATTTTGTGTCCTGTATCGTGCTGCAGGCTTGGCGTGTGAGATTGCAGCTCCTGGCGCTGAGCATGGAGAAGAAGAGGAGCCAGAAGAAGACGCTGAGTTAGAGCTGGCTGATGCTGACCAGCAGCAGCCCGAGGATGTAAGTTAGCAAGCGACAGCTCAGCTCATTGTCGCAAAGTTGCGACTGTAGAGCCAGCAGATGTTGACTAGCAGCCGACAGTTCACTGTCGTGAACTTGAAGGTGCGAGAAAAGTGGTTGGTCCGGCGTTGATTTGCATCAGAAGACAAGACGATGTGACTTTACAAAACATATTGGGTGCATAATAAGGGTTTCCGCGTTGCAAATACGCGTGCTATTTTCTGGCGTGTCGTAGACAGCATCTAGGGTTGGGCCCTATTTTAGCAAAGACCTTTATTTTTATAACGAGGAAGTTTGGGCCCGCTAGTTCATTTTTCGCTAGGTTCCTAGGCGACTTGCCTAATGCAAAATAACATGGAATTCTTTTCTTACACGCTTGTCTCCCTAATTTTTTCAGTTGTTTCCTGGCTCCCCTCCACTGAGATGTCGTCAGATGTGTGAAGCCACACGAAAAGGTGTGTGACTGTGGCTGGCTTCAACGGATCATTGGCTACCGTGGTCTGGTCATAATGCCCCATCCTTTGGGAAAAAAGTGGTTGCGGAGCCGCCAGCGCTGAGGAATCACCGTCATCACCGTCATCATAATTTGATGTCCCCCATCCTTCGGGGGATGGAGTGGTAGCGGAGCCAGCACTGAGGAATCATTGACTACTACTAGTCAATAATAACAATATCCCGCCATCAGGAAAAAGTGTTACTTGCGGAGCCAGCTCTGAGGTATCATTGACTACCATCATCATTGAATCTCTGAGGCCAGTAGGCAAAAGTAGGGAGCCCCCAGATCATTTGGAACCCCCGGATCAAAGGAAATTTCTTTAATTGTGACAGGACGGAGGTTGCTGTGGTATTCAACCATGGAGAGCTCTACCTCACCATTGGGCCGCATCCTGATGCGCTTGCCGCAGAAAACAAAATCATCAAATTCAACTGACCCAAAACCAAGGTTGGCCCCGATAGCCATCAGACTGTCCTGGGCCCTCTTGTTTCCTCCAAGCAGCAAATCGTCTACATGGGAAATCACGATGCCCTCCAGGCGTGTGTGGTCGTCTGACCAGAGCATCCAGCAGGCGTGATCACACACCGTTCTCTCCCAGCCAGCTGCTAGGAAGCTTTTGTTGAGCTTGAGGTACCATTGTCTGGGTGCGTCTGCAAGGCCGAAGACTCCTTTCCGAATCTTTGCCAGTTGATTGCCAAAAGGAAGCTTGGGCTCATCACCACGGACATTCTCCAAAAACAGCTCACGGCTGCCCTCCATATAGGCGTCGCCCTTCAAAAAGGCCGACTTGACATCTGCACTCATGAGCCGCCAGCACAAATTCTCATCCTTGAACTTCTTCGCATTGCTGGCGGTGAAAACAAAGAGGAAGTGTTGGGAGATGCGCGAGCCCGTAGGTGCATCCTTTCTCAAACCAAAAGCAAAAATGTCTTTGTACCCGGGCACGATCACTCGAGCTCGAGCCTTCAGTGGTATAGAGGATTTTGGGCTGTTCTTAAACTTTCATGACGATCTGCGAAGACATATCGCGGAGTGAGGATGCGACAGTCCTCTCTGTTCTGGCCCAATCTCTTCCTCACCATGGCTGACTCCTCTGGGGACAGAACTTCAATGGCATCATTCTCCTCCCAAACAGCCCAGGCTTGCTGAGCGGCCTCAGTGAAGGCTGTCTTCTCAGCGGCAGACATCTGGCGCCACCGGAACTCCTTGCGGGCGGCTTGCGCCGCTTGCACTTCATGAGGGCTTGGCGCTCCAGTAGGCCACATCATGCCCAACCTCTGATGAGTTTGCCATTCTGAAGTCGTTGGTAGTTTCCAACGTCCATCCCATGTGCCATGATCCTGGACTGCACTTCCTAACGGATCTTGGTGATCCAGACATGCCTCATAGAAGGCCTTGCTCAGTGGGTGTAGGTTGGTCAACTGAAGTTTGGTTCGAGCCTCATCCACCATCACGGTCAAGGCATCGTGACCGACCGCTTCATGTCCGGTCGAAGATGCACCAAAATCCACTTCTTGGGAACGAAGGTCTTCTACTTCTGTCTCAGCTGGGCGTTTGACGCCAGTTGTTTCTTCTTCTCGCCCATCCAAGGTGTGGGCTCTTTCAATTGCTCGTCCGAGCAGTTGACTTGTCCCTCTTCTCTCATGCATTCTTTGGACTGCTTCTGGAAAAGGTGAAGTTGTAGCCAACTCACTTGCCCGTCGCGAAGGGATTGTTGACCCCACCTGGGAAGGAACTGGAGGTGTTGAGGGAACCATCATCGGCAACAACTCCTTTGGTTGAATTGGTGGTAGGTCATCGCCATTCAAAGGCAGGTTCTCTTCGGCGTTCATCACTGCCGCGGAAGAGGGCAAGAAGGCCGGAGTGGCCGGGTTGACAACATCTTCACCGCCGTCACCATTCAGAGGGGAACCCTCCGGACCTGATTTCTCTAAGAGTGCGTCTCCAGCTTGCGGAAGGGGTAGTTCATGCTTGGCCGCCTCGACAGCTTCTTCTATCGCTTCACGCCAAGTGCCTGCAGCGATTTGCTCCATGATCGAGGCCTTTCTCACATTCTCAAGAGCACACTTGGTCAGTTGGCCCTTGTACGACAAGAAGGCCGAAGCATTCCCTTCACAAGCCACCAGAAGAGCAGGTCCATGCCACCTCTTCAGGCTCAAGCGCTTTCGACTGGCTGAGTTCTTGGTGTTGAAACGAAGCGGCCTGTAGAAGTAGCAAACGCTGCCTGGTTCAGGTAAAGCTTCAAACGTCGAATTTCTGGACCTGGCAAGTTCGGCTCTCCTCATCCCACGGCTGAAGTGTAGCCGCATCATGGCCACTCGGGCCACCTCACGCATCGCCAGCTGCCGAGCAAAGCTTGGCTTGGACTCAATGAGCCCGTGTTCAGCAAGCCGTTGTTGTACTCCACCGAGGACATCACCGATCATCCTGGGTTGTCGATCCAGTGCCGCCTGGAAAGGCGACGCTCCAGACTCCGGATCGACGTCCGAGTTGTAGGCTGCCACCGCCTCTGCTAAGGCCATTTCCATTTCGGCTTCCGTCACCACCGATTTCGCGGCCACGATGGCCGCCAGCAGTGTCTTCAGTATGCCTCCAGAACGTTCCGCCAGGCCGTTTTGCCATGGGGCCTGTACAGCAATATGGTGCAACAAGGTCGAAACAGAACTCGTCCACTCCTCCATCTCCCAAGAGATAACTTCACGGCCCTGATCGCACACAAGTACACGTGGGGCTCCAAACGTTGGTAACCACTTGGTGGCCATGAAGCGCACCACCGATTCAGTTGACTTGTCCGGGAGGATCTGAGCAGCTTGGAAACGAGTGGCAAAATCTGTGCAATGAGCTATGAAGTACTTGCGCTCCGTGGCATCCTCAGCCTCTAACAGGTCCAGGTGTACTTGATCACCTAGGTCCTTGGGAGTAGGCAAGGAAGCAGGTCTTCTCGACTTGGGAGGCTGGCGTTCTTGACAAATGGAACATTTGTGACGCTTGGCCGCCACCACTGCTTCTGCCGGGGCACCAGCTAGAGCCAGAGCTCGAGCTAATCGCTGGTTGCTCCGATGTCCAGTGTTCTCGTGAAGTCTTTTGATTGCTGCTTTCACATTGCCAGAATGACCATGCTCTGCTCCGAGGGGTCGATCTCCTCATCATCCGACAACTCCACCTCCGGTTTGACCTCCGCCTCATCACCGACAGGCTCACCATCAGCTCCTGTCGAAGTGGCAAGAACTTCCCTGGGCTTGAACTCCTTGTCAAACTGCTTCTCGATGCCAACCACAATGGCTCTGGCCAGAGTTCGTGGATACACCCCTGCAGGGGCTGTCACCCGAGACCCGCCGATCACCTGTTCGTGCTCATGGTCGCGCTTGCAACGAACACCATCCAGTTGATCAACGACAGTTGAACTGGAACTCATCACCTGAGTTGCCTTGCGATGCAACTTGCCACTTGCACCTCTGAGTCCGAAGCGGCATTGGTCAAAAACTGCTCCGAAGATGTCATTCTCTTCGATGAACTTTCGCATTTCTGGCTGTTGCCACGCCAGTGAAGGTCTCGGATTCTCGAGCACGCAATGTCGACCGGAATCCAATTGGATGAGATACTGCAAAGGGCTGAATGGCCCACAAGGGAAAGCCAGCACCAAACAAAAAGGTTCTTCTTTCATCACCCTCTCTTTGGCCATCTCACGATGTCTGCGAAGCCTGAAGTCCCAACCGGTCTCCAAACTCATCGCAGTCCCAACCGAATGCCCACGTCGAACAGCCTCCTTCATGACATTCTGAGCACTCGTGTAGACCTCCGTGACCAGGGGCTTCTCCTTGGCAAAAGCTTTGAGGTTCTTTGAGTTGTGCTCATTCGCATGAACTTCATTGAAGACAGGCATCAGATCAATCGTTTGGACAAAGGTCTCGTCGTGCATATAGCCATCAAGCTCCTTGTAGTACTCAGCCTCGAGCACTTGGCGGATCTTGCGAGGTTTGTGGGAAACACGAATGCGGTCGGCCGCATGCCGATTCCATGCCTGAGCAATCAATTGAGCTTGCCCTTTCTTGAGCTGCTGGTGGATCAAGTACTGGTTCAAGGGTCCAGCACTGATTCCATCTCCTCCTGGGTCAGGAGGTAAAAGTCCTCCCCGAACTGTGCCGCCAGCTTTGCTTCCCAATGTTGCTCCAGGGAGCGTGCCGCATCCTCCATCAGCTCTCGGTTTTGGCGACTCTCGTTCGCCTCGACCATCTCCTCGTCGGTCATCAAGCTGGGCTCCGTCATCACGGAACTGAGCTCCGTCACATGCAAAGGCAGTCCAACGCCATGTGGTCCAAAGTGGTCTGGAACCTGGCTTTCATTTCCATGAACTGCTCGATGGGGACCATGCGATTTGGTGGTGGAGTATACATCAGCTGTTGGTTTGAAGCCGTGCTGCAATCCAGCCACTGAGGGTCTCTTGAGCTCTGGCTGGCTGCCTTGCTCTTTGCCTTTGCCTTGCCAGCTGCGCTGGCTACCGGCTTTGGCTCTTCTTTCAGAACCTCCATCATGGGCTTGATCTTGGCCTTGATGATCTCGACTGTGTCTTTTGGCTCCAGAGGCACATTGAGCAGGGCTGCAAGCTTGACCAAATCGGCCCTCAGAGACGGCAAACCGCCTCGCGGCCCGATCAAGGCACGAGCCAACTCCTTCTGGTTGCCCTCCTCCTTGGCGATCTTGGCCTTCTCCTTGGCTTCTGCCATGGCCGCTTCTTTCACCTTCTGGTTCAACCCTTTTGCTGCCTTCGCCATCTTGAACCCGTGGACCACGGGGTCTTCGCAAAAGGCTACCTCGAGCCCCAGTCGGTTGCGGAGATGGATCATCTCCCGCAGGTTCTCGTAGTTGAACCCATTGCTCTTCACGGCCTTGTCGAAGTGGCGCTTTGCCATGACCTTGTCCATGCACAGGACACGGCCTTGGGCTTCCCAGCGCTCCACAGATGCCGTTGAGGGATACGGCAATGGCAGATAGCGCAAGTAGGGCCTTTGCAACGCCCACAGGAGCAGCCCTTGTCTTGCCCAGTTTGACCTTTCTCTCATGCGGAGTACGAGCCTCCGCCATCGCTGGTTGTTCACTTGGAAGTTCTGGTCCATTTGAGGGCTGAGCTGCTGTCGTCAAAGTCCGCGTCCTGGTAGTAGAAGAAGTCGTCCGAGATGGCGATCGCACCGAAGGGCGAGTCATTCGCGCTTGAACCAGGGACGAACGGTCAGCCAGCACTGAACAAACCAAGTGACCAACACGAACACTACTCTCAGTCAAAAAATGATCATGCCCGTCAACCACTTGAGAAAAAGAAGGTGCACTGCTGAAACGCTTCTTCAACCAACGAGTCGGACTCATCTGAACTTCAACAATGCCGTCCAGTCCGAGTCTCCTCCAACGCTGGGTGTCCAGACCTGGCCATCTCTCCGGGATGAGGCCCACTGAGTAGTGACCTGCAGCAAGCTGGCTCAATCGAATCGGATGACCATCCAGGAGGTCGCACGTCAAGACCTTTCTGGTGAAGCTCATCACACCCCCAACTGCTTCGAGAAAATCTCGTCCTAAAAGAAGACCAAGGCTGGGGACCTGAACCACCGATGTCCAAAAACAGAGCACCACTCCTCCTATGACTGTAGGGAGCCGCCACCTTTGAAGACTCACCTGAGTGCCACCATTCCCAAACCTGAAGGTTTCCTTCTCATCCTCCACCTTCACCAAATCCACAATGGCTTGGGGCGCCGATGCCCTCAAACAAGTCAAAAACGAGGAGAGCCATTCAGGGCCGGTGCAGGTTCTGTTGCAGGCGCTGTCCAGTGCCCCAACCAATCTTTTGTCTCGGGAGAGGCCACCAACGACGTTCACCTCTTTGGGTCGGTGAGACATGTCGAAGGCAAGTGAAAAATCCTCCGACAGGTCGTTGGAGTGTAGCCGGTTTGCCACCATCACCTCATGGCCAGCCTCCGGCTCGCCATGCTCTGTGTTCAGGGCCTCAGTGACCTTCACTTGTTTCTGAGGTTGTTTGCCCTTCTTCCGGCCCAGTTGTTGGCCGGGTTTCTGGCATTCCGGATCTCCAGCCCAATGCCCAGGGAGCCCGCAATCAAAGCAAGGATGCTTGTCAGACTGCTTCTTGAGCGAAACCTTCGAAGCCGCTGGTGCGTTTGCGGATGGAGAAGAAGGCTTTCCATAGCCTCTGTCTTTGCGAACTTCCTGGAGCTTCGATCTTGCCTCCCGCATCGTCAGGAAGGCTTCAGCAGCAGCTTCCACGCTCTCCTCAACTTCATGGAGCGTCTCTTCATCGAGTCCTTGAGCTGCAGCCTCTTCCAACTCAGCGGCCAACACCTCAGCTTCAGTCGTCATGACCTCCTCTAAGCTCTGGGGGCCAGTGTCATCGGCCTCATGTGCTTCTTCAACAAGGTCCTCTGGCTCCTCCTCAACCTCTGAGACCATGGCCTGCTTGGCCGGTTGTGGCCTCCGGTAGGCGGTAAAGCGACCAGACGAAGACGAAGACGTTCCGGAACGGAACGAACGAGGTGCTGAACTAGCCATAGAGGGCGCATACGATGAAGGTCTGCTTGCTGTGCTCTGTTGGCTCAGGAACCTATTCAACAGGGGTGCTCGGTTGTCCTGGTCATTGGCCTTCTTGCGCAAAGGGTCGGCCACATGCAAGTCCTTGAACAACCGAAGAACTTCTCGCTCTATGGTGGGGTAGTCTTCAGCACCGGCCAAGGCCGTCTCCAGAAGCTGGGACCTCAGGGCGTCTAGCCCTAGTTTGTGCTTGAACCACCATCCAAGCTCACCATCAGCGATCACCACACCCTCAGCTTTGAGCTCTGACACCAAAGTCCTGAACCGAATTGCAAACTCTGAGATCCTCTCGCCGGAACGGCGACGCAGCTCCAGGTAGAACACCTGTCGTAGTTCACCCCGCTTGTCCAGCGAAGTGCGACCAGTCATGGTTTCCAAGGCCGCAAGGAGTTTCTTTATCCCGCTCAGGGGATCTTCTGGTGTCACCACCGTGTCATCTCCGGTGGTGGGGTCAGGAACCCTGACCTCACGCTGGTACTCGAGCTCGGCCGGGTCGAACTCCTCGCCTCGTTGGCGGACCATGCCGCTCTGGCGAAGAAGCCATCTGGCTGCCAGGTTGTACTTCTTGGTGCTCTCGATGTCAAGCCCAGCCAGCCACCAGCTCATGTCCTTCCGAAAAGACCTCCACGTCTGTGGACTGCCGTCCCAAGTTGGGACCCTACTCCAAGCGCCGCCATTGGCATCCTTCTCCTCAGTCATCGGTGCCGCCTTCCTTGAGAAGGCGATGAAACAAGTGGGCAAAAAGGCGTAAATTCAACCACCTCAACAACCTCTGCTCTGAAACGGGCGCGTGCCCTCAAAACACCAGGTCACCAAGGAAGTGTGTCAGCTCAAACACAGGGAACTTGGCCGAGAGGTCCGCTTGGATCACCCTCCAAGAACACAAGCGAGAGCTCGTGCAAGTTGAAGTCCAAAAAGGCAGGCGCCGGCCGCAAGCCGGCAGGACAGGCCGCGTGGCCTCAAAGGCAGGGAGCAGCGCAGCAGCGTGCGAGATCGAACCAATGGCTCCGGTGCCACTGACAAAGACCGAACGGCAACGAGCGGTCTCCAGCGGTTTTCACCGATGCCTAAGTCGCAGCCTAAGGCCGAGGCGCCTTCCAACAGCCGGGTTGGCCGCAGTTCAAACACATGTCCAACCGGTCCGGATCAAGATGGATCATGCTCACATGAAACTTCATATATATATATGGCTAGGGGATGATTTCGGACAGCCACTTTTGAAACATTTCCACTTGTTAGCATTAACACATACATATAATAGTTTTCTTGGTCTACTATTGCTGTTGCTTCTTGTCTTCTTGTTGTCATTGCTTACTTTAACATCTGGCTTCTGCAACAAACTATTTACTTACTCCAACATCTGGCTTCTGTAAATTACAACAAACAAGCTGGTTTGCAAACAAAGCCTCTAGTTTGCAAACTCCTTGGTTCAATATATATATATATATGTCGAGAGGGGGAGAGGGGGGGGGGGGGAACACT